TTTAGGGTTTTGATTCTTCTTTAAAAAAAAAAAAGATATTATTCTTGTCTACTGCTTCTTGGTTTTTATAGCAGATGTAAGAATGATGTAAGAATGGAGAGACCCTACTATGCAGGCAGGGCTTGTTGGCTGATGGGTTTTGTTTAAGGAAAAGAGGTCGGGAAGCCAATAAGCTGGAGGACTGGATTTATTCTGTTGCACTGACTCCAAGACAGCCCCCCTAGTACCCTCCAGTAAGAGTTTAATGTGGCTTAAAATGAAATCTTCTATGTTTTTGCCTGGAATAAATGCTCAGCTGCAGAATTGTTCTGCATCCAAAGGTGAAGAGTCTATGTATGGATATCCAACTAGTTAGTACCCTTCATTACAACCCCATTCTCTTTCCTACCCTCAGTGGTAAGTGCTATCTCAGTTCTGGAACTGTTCCATGGAAGTTCCTTTCTAGGTGTGTCCCAGAGTGTCACTATTTCTTTTCTGCTTCATCCACTGATGACACTCTCCATTTCCTCCTTTGTTGCATGTCTTATCCTTTCCTGCCTTTATAATCAGTCTAACGGAGTTTCAGAAGGCAAAGAAATTGATGTATATGTTCAGTCTACCATCTTGAACTGGAAATTTCTTCAACTTTTTTATAAAATGTTTAGAATGTGACTCAGGGTATTTCTTCCCCCTCCCCAAGTATTACCATAATTTGAGGTGAATTAAGTGCCAGATAGACATCCCAAATGGCATCAGAGCCTCTCACTCTTCTGCCAACTGCATCTCTAGTTACTTTCACTCCTTTCATCTACCTCAGCCACCCACCTCTGTATCTGCACAAGGATACTAGGCCTTGTCAGCACCTTGGACTCAAATCTTAAATTGAAACATGTTGCTTTCTGGTAACAACATTTTTTTAATTCCCACTCTATCACTCAGATACTACTACAAAATCTGCTTTTCGCCTCATCAAGATATGCAGCTTGTTAGCCCATTTAATTTCTTCCCTTTGTTTCACTTCCTCCTAGATCCAGCCTCAATTACATATCCCATCACTGTACCTATATATGCTCTCCTGTCAGAATCTTAAACATGAACCAATCAAATTGTCTTATAGAATAAGACCTTCTGGGTTCATGTCCCATCTCTACCACCCACATGACTTATGAGCACGAGTCATAAGCTGTGTGACTTTGAAGAAGTTATTTAAATTTTCTGTGCATCCATGTCCTCCTCTTTAAAATGAGGATAATGATAGTGCTAATGTTCTGAGGATGAGATGAGACAGTTATATATAAAGTGCTTAGAAAAGACTCAGGCTCAAGATGTCCATCGACAGATGAATGGATAAATAAGATGTGGTATATATATACAATGGAATATTATGCAGCTATCAAAAGGAATGAGATCTTGCCATTTGCAATGACGTGGATGGAACTGGAGGGTATTATCCTGAGTGAAATAAGTCAAACAGAGAAAGACATGTATCATATGACCTCACTGATATGAGGAATTCTTAATCTCAGGAAACAAACTGAGGGTTGCTGGAGTGGGGGGTGGGATGGGAGGGATGGGGTGACTGGGTGATGGATACTGGGGAGGGTATGTGCTCTGGTAAGCACTGTGAATTGTGCAAGACTGATGAATCTCAGATCTGTACCTCTGAAACAAATAATGCAATATATGTTAAGAAAAAAAAAAAGAAGAAGGTAGCAGGAGGCGAAGGATGAAGGGGGGGAAATAGGAGGGGGAGACGAACCATGAGAGACGATGGACTCTGAAAAGCAAACTGAGGGTTCTAGAGGGGAAGGGGGTGGGAGGATGGGTTAGCCTGGTGATGGGTATTAGGGAGGGCACGTTCTGCATGGAGCACTGGGTGTTATGCACAAACAATGAATCATGGAACACTACATCCAAAACTAATGATGTAATGTATGGTGATTAACATAACAATAAAAATTTTTAAAAAAAGACTCAGGCTCAATAAAAGTATTCAATAAACATTAATCAGTAGTAATATTCTCTAATTTAAAAACATTAATGAAATACCAGTGTACTTTAATAAGTTATAATAACATATGTAAAATGCTTACACATTCAATTTATACCATTTAATCAGTCTTTCTTGATTAAGCATTTCTAAGGAGATGTAGTAGTTACATATTTAAGGTACATCAAGGCACCCAAAGAAATGGGTTATTTCTCTAATTTTTTTTCTAATCTAACTTTGATTGTTAACTCTCTGCACATCCAAGGAGAACTTGCCCTAATTATTATATTTAGACGTCTATTTATAGCTGACATCTAATTATATCTGACATCTAATTATAACATCTATTAAGGTAATAGGTACCAATTACAAACTCGGAGGCATGTTGCTTCATATTCTCCCTTACATAACAATTGTGGTTTTAGGAAATAGACCAGATTCAAAAAGTGATTTAAACTCTGTCAATTCTCATTGACACTTTTATGCCACTTCTTTCAAATCTATAGTTATGTGATAGTTATTATGAGCTTTGAAGATCTCAGGAATCCTTCAGCTTGGATCTCAAAATCTCTTTGATGATGGGATTCTGCTTAATCCCTTAATTTAAATAAGTCCTTGGAGGAAGACATTTTAACCCCAGGCAATGTATAATTATTGTTCTGATTACTAAACCCCCATTGTAACAGAACTCTAACCGAATTAATATTTTGGACACTATCCTTGTAGAGTGAGACTGTGGTCTTTTAAGACATGTATAACAATGTTCTCTGAAAATGTGAAGATTGTGCATATTTTAATGATAATGATTCTACCATCATACCTTTAAAATATCTCTGAATAGAAAATCAGTGAGATGTCAATTAAATTAAAAAATATTTATTACTATTGAATCAGCTTCAGGAGGTATTACAGAGAAGCAATGTAATATGATAATATTGGGTTCTGTTGGAATCCTGGGCAAGTTATCTAATTTTTCTGGGCTCCATTTCCTAATCAGTAAAATGAGTTTTGGTTATGAGTTAAAAGAAATAGTGTATTAAAGCTCTTTGTATATACCCTGACCTGGAAATATTTATTGAATCTAAGGAATCAGATGGGCATGCATGGACTTCTTAAGTGCAAATTCTTATTTTATAAAAATCAAGGTTTCTGTAGGCTCCACTCCTGCCCTCATACCCCTTACTTATCACTTGTCCTTAAATAATCTTAGTCTTAGATTTTGGTTCATAAATGTATCTCTCTCTTTTTATTCTTCTACCTCCAAATAAAAAGATAGTATCCCTATTTATGCCTTCAGCATGGTCTTACCCCATTCACTCTCTATGAGTATATCACTGGATGTGTTTTCTAGGAAAACATCTAAATCAAACTCATTTTTGGCAGACACACAATAGCTATTGCTAAATAGTTCTAGAAATCTGTCTTAGTAAGCTAAAGATTTATGTTATAGTTAACTTTCCCAGTGGGCTTACCAGAATGTAGTCATACTCCAAATTAAGCCTCAGAAGGCCCATCTTTGGGAAAAGCTCAGTTGAACCTCTACTATCCTAATTCTTGCTCTTAGTTTTTTACAGGCCGAAGTCATACTTTCCATTTTTGTTACATTTGAATAGATCCAGAGTCACTTTCTGAAAAAAGTCCCAGTCCTGACCAAAACTAGACCTACTCTATGGCTTACAAGCATGGTATGTGGATTTCATGACTCTCTTCCTGGATCCATGCTGAAGTCAACTGCCAATCACGAGTCTCTTTCCTACTAAGGACGAACCCAGACTGAGGCTCATTCTCAGCCAGCGTTCCAGAAAGGGAAAAGAAACAAATATGTAAGAACTTCCCTGCCCTGCTTGTACTAGAAAGTAAGCTCCCTGAGGACACAGGCTGAGGCTTATTCATATGTGTTTTCCTGACAGACAAACTGATTGGATGTTGATTCACTGTATAAAATAAGAATGGTAGTCAGTTTCCTTAATGTTTAAAAAAAATGTTAGCATAAGCATTTTTGTATTCAATCTGAAAGAAGAAAAAGCCAGTAAAGATGTTATAATATTAAAAGCATCCAAATTTTTGTGGGAGTCTCTGTTTGGATGAAAGCTAGAACACTTAGACAGTATCTCAGAGGGATGGACATGTGAAGCTCTATTAAAGCAACATGTCCCTAACCTATGGAATCACATGGAAAAACTCTTGACATCTTTACTTCTGTAGTTAGTCCCATTTTTCTAAAAACAGTTTAAACCAGTAAGAATTTTCCAGAAGTTGAATTTGAATCACCAACCTTCCAAGGAAAAAATAAACAAAACTAAGTAAACATATTTCAGCCTCAAAATTTCCCCCACTCACTAACAGTTTCAACCTAAATCTGTTCCTCTTAAAGCACCCCAATTTCTCTATAAAACTTATTAAATGAGTCTCTTGTGGACACCCACACTTGGCTGCCATCCTAAATGGTACTCAGACCAGACACATGTCAGTGCATTTTTAATTGCTAAAGCAAATAGTATCCATTTTAATTACACCCTCATCATTTATTACAGTCACTCTTCAGAACGTGAAGTCTTGGAAATAACACACTAAAAAGTACTTGTGGACTCTGGGGCTTTGGCAGACTGGGACAAAACTTTTGAGAACATGCTGTGTGAATTTTCCAAAGGAGGCAATCAATCTGAGAGGACACACACAGGAGCTGTTCATTTGGAACCTAGCTGGTGGCTTTTATCTCGGATTTGAGGATCTCACAATCAATAGAAATGCAAGCTTAGGGCATAGCCTGGATATTACTCTTAATCATTGCTTCAGTTTGTAAAGAGCGGGTCCCATCAACTGCCAAAGAGGGAGACTCATCTAGAATCTGGGTGGCTACATCTCTCTGCCAGTAAGCGCTTAATGACTCATTTTCCTCAACAGAATTTTCGTAAGACCGGAATTCAGGGAGGGTTGTCTGGAGAATGTCTGAAAGGAAGTTCGCAAGCCACTGTTCTGCTGTTTGCTGGAGAAAGCCTCCTCTGGGAGCCAGACCAATTGACTAAAGCAAACAGCAACAGATTTCAGTATTGTTTCCTCATTACCTTTCATGAACAACCCTGGAGATGTCAACATGAAGTTTGTTTTAGTCATTGTGAGAACGTCATAAACTTCCAGAAAAGAAAATCATGAGTGGAAAAACGAAAGACACAGTAGGTTAACAATTGTGTTTATGTGGAAGCACAATCTATCCGAGTGTCTTGCACTGAACCAGCCAGAATACTCCAAGAGACTGTTGTATGTATGTATTTTTAAAAAATTCAGTCAACCTTTTTTCCTGATCTGTCGGGCTGACCAATTGCTTTGCAATTATATAGATTTAGCCAAAATGAAATTGTACTTAAGACTTACCTCTGTTTTCAAATGCTTTTTTATTTGTCTTAGAGGCTCTATGATTACTGAATGGTCTTCTCTCTCAGAATATATTCTGAGATGGAAGCAAAAATATCACTTTTGCAAAGCCATTTCCATTCTTCCAAAGGTCTGTTGGTAAATTATTCTTACTGATCTTTCCATCTTTCTGGCCTGTGCATACACACCTAACCCATACTAAATTTCACCAGATGGCATTTTATTTCTTTAAAGTAAAGCAGTCGTGGGTTTAGACAGTTGAATTTTTAAACTTCTGTATTTACTGAAAGTGCATATGGTGCTATATGGACAAAGAAATTGTGCTGAAAGAAAAACATTTCTGTCCGCAAGTACCTCATAATTTCCCAGAGGAATAAAAATGTGCACTTATGTGGTGTATGTCTCATAAACTCTTATAGGGCTTTAATTTTCTTTCTCTGCTAAAAAATAGATATATGTGTATTGTGTGTACCTGGAGGTTGTACTATTTTAAATTCTTCTTTTGGTTGCAAATAAAATGGTTACACAAAATGTGATCGCTTGCCAAAGTGATCCGTAAGTGATTTCTAGAAGAAAATGAAACATAAACCCGACCTTGTTAAAAAAAAAAAAAAAAGACAACTAAAACCTCTGTATGTCAACGTAAGCAGATGTTGGTGTAGAATTTACAAGGATGAGAAGGCTATAAAACCTCCCTTGAGCCACTCACAGTTCATTTCAAGGCCAAGAACGCCCCCAAAATCTGTTTCTAATTTTACAGAAATCTTTTGAAATTTGGCCCAGTATTCAAAAGTCCGTGGAAAGAAAAAAACCTTGTCCTAGCTTCAGCTTCCAACTCTGAAGACAGACTTGCTTCTTTCAACGGTTTTCACAGATCCGGTGACCTACGCTCCGAAGTCAGAATTAGCTAACTTTCAAAAACATCTGGAAAAATGAAGGTTAGTATATGCAGCCTCATGTGTTGCTAAAGAAGGAGGACTGGCTGAGTTGAGTTCGATCACAGTTTTCTATTGTTTAGAAGGTGAGGATTTGTACATAAGTATGTACTTCCTGGAGTGGGTTGGGATTGGGAGATTGTTCTAAATATACTGTAGAAACATTTGTCCTTGCAGAGCTGGGAGAATTCCAGCAATTATAGCCAGATCAGTGGAAAACAATCAAAGGTTTTGTGGGGAGAGAGAAATAGGATTTAGGTGTAAACAAAATCTTGCCATTTCTACTATTTAACAGAAACTATGTATATGTCAATTTTCTTTATTTTATGTAGACATGGTTAAAAATTGTACTTGGAGTTGCCACTTCTGCTGTGCTTGCTTTATTGGTGATGTGCATTATCTTACGTCCTTCAAGAGGTAAGAATTTTCTCTGATTTGCTCTATCTGCCTAGGATAGCTCGGAAAGTGCACTAATGCATGGTCACAAGTGATTGAACATTTCTTAAGTGCTTATTTCCCAAAGTAAGTCTGTTATTTCTAAGAAGACATATAAGCTCACAGATATGTTGTTGAGCAACCAGAAATGCTGAGGAATTTAAGGCACGAGTAGGAAGAGATTCCCAGGATTACTTCAGCAATAGAGAAACCTAAGCACTATTCCGTATCACCCCCACACCCCCCACAATATCTGCTAAATTACAAGTCTGGACAGGCCTTTAGAGAAAATATTTTTAACTAACATTTCTTTTCATTATTGTAAAGATAAGTAAGAATGGAAAAGTCAAAACAGAACCTATGGAGTTTTGTATTATGAGACTTTCCAAAAACGTCGGGAGGCAGCAGCAAATAGAGATCCCAGGAATAGCTACAGAAAAGGTGAAATTGTTGCTCTAGATGCAGTAGCAATGAAAAATCAGATTAGAAGACTATTATCAAGAAAGCATTAAGTGATAAATCAATCCTTTTAGAAGATTAACATTGATTTCAGTTTGCTGTAAGATGGAAGATACTATGAACTGATACTGGGGCTAGTTTGAATTTAAATTAAGACTCTGTCCACAAATAACCCAGTGATATTAGGGGAATAGGTTCTTAGGAAATGGTTGATGAAGAGAAGCTCAAATTCTTTTTTTTTTTTTAAAGATTTTATTTATTTATTTATTAGAGAGCGAGCGAGAGAGAAATAGCATGAGAGAGGAGAGGGTCAGAGGGAGAAGCAGGCTCCCCGCTGAGCCGGGAGCCCGATGTGGGACTCGATCCCAGGACCCTGGGATCATGACCTGAGCCGAAGGCAGTCGCTTAACCAACTGAGCCACCCAGGCACCTGAGAAGCTCAAATTCTAAAACAGGAAAAATTACAACAAAAACAGGTCTTGTGTCTTGGGGTCTAGGGGAAGGGGGAAAGTTTGTACTAATAAATGTTAAAAAAAAAAGCTTATGATAGCTAAGATGGGAAATATTTTTGGTTACAGATTAACTGACAGTAAAGGAAGACCAATGGTAAGCCTTTAGCTAAAAAAATAATCTGTTGTTCTAAAAAATGAAATATAGAAAAATATTTTGAAAAGTTCAACATGCTAGTGGGATTTTCACAGAATTACAAAATGGAGAAGTTAATCAATAAGATGAAAACAGTGTTCTTATATCTTCAGTGTTAATCTTTAGTCCTTATTTCTGCTATCTGCTGGCATTTGATTACTCTTAGGATGCTGAGATGTGTGTACGCATCCATATTTTCCATGGTTTTTCAGGTTAAAATTGTTTTCAGACCAGTGTCTCACCTCAATGGTTTTGGGCCATATTTCCCTCATATGAGTAACTGTCAGATGGCAGATTAAGTCCAATTGGCCTATTGAATGCTAATCCATTCAAAATTAACTCCTTCTTTGGAAAGAAAATCACCAATACTTGAAATTAACATTTTGCTCCCTCAAAAATTAATGTTCTGAGAACAAAAGTGTATGGAAATTATTGTGAGCTTACCTCATGTCCACAGGCAAGACTGGACTGCAATGGCACTTTGGAATTTAAGCCATAATTTTTCATGAGCAACATACTATAGTTACACATTTATAAAAAGTATATAAGTATACGACACATAGAAATTTGTGTAATTATACACAGTCTCAATCCTTACTTTCTTCCCAAGTTTAGACATGTATCTTACACCCATAAATATATGTTATAAACTTCATATAGTATAAAATGCCTGTCATTTATAACAGTTTTCTGTTTCAACCAACAGGATTATTCTCAGGGCAAAGTAATTTCCTGAAAGAGTCAATCAAATTAAACTTTAGATAAAATTTTATTACTCTGAGCAACAGAAAAATCATAAAAAAGCTGAGAGTATCTTTTCTATCTATAATATTCTCTGTCTATTCTAAGTTGGCTGAAGAACTTCTCAGAATGCCACTCAAATAATTTGTACATGGGACTATTCATTGTCCCATTTCCTGAGCAGGACCAGGGTCAAAGCCCTCCTTCCCACACATCTGTCTACAGGCAGCCCTGATGCTCAGTGCATCCTTCTGACCTCCCCTCCTGACTTTTTTTTTTAAAAGATTTATTTATTTATTTGAGAGAGCGAGAATGAGAGAGAGAGAGCACATGAGAGGGGGGAGGGTCAGAGGGAGAAGCAGACCCCCTGCCGAGCAGGGACCCCCCCCGATGCAGGACTCGATCCAGGGACTCCAGGATCATGACCTGAGCCGAAGGCAGACGCTTAACCAACTGAGCCACCCAGGCATCCCTGCCCTCCTGACTTCTCACCCCACTCCTTAATCACCCCAGGTCTGGAGCTTCCCTCTCACCTCTGCCCAGTGCCTGTTGAGAGTAGCATCTAAGGTACTAAGGCAGGAGAAGGGAAGGAGGAACAGAGAACTCAATGCCAAGTTAGCTTCCAGTTAGCCTTCTCACACTTCCTCAGAAATCCCATTACCTCACGTTGGCCTTAGGTGCCCTCATATTCTTAGCCCAGGATCTCTGCGCCAGTGTATAAATAGTCTTCCTTTGAGAAACTTAAAGACCCGCTTAAGAAACCTGGGTTCACTTATTTATTTATTATCAAAGTAAATCCCACCAATGACCTGCCCATCATTGTGCCAGTTGCCAGGGAAACAAAGGTGCAGTGGTCTAGATTTCCTTGTGAAAGGCAAGGTAAAAACCCCCCATGGAAGCATGGTCATCACCACCAAAGGGATTTCTGCTGGTCCATCCCCACCAGGTCCCAGTGAAAGAAGGGGAGATATGGGCTTGTCCACAAAGGGAGAAGGTCCCAGAAACACCAGCCTCAGTTCATAAAAGAGCTGTGGAGGAATTAGGCAGGATTTTAGGAACAAATAGGAAAATGTAGTGGTGAAATGAAAAAGATCCATTTAGTTCACCCACGTAAGGGACAACTTTCTTGGAAACTTCCAAAATTTCCCATTTTTATTTGCACCAAACGGGAAACACACATGGGTTTCTATTCCTTAGTCCCAGGCCATCCCCTTTTGCCTCAGTCTACCCCTGTTCCATGGCTGCCCTTTCTATTCTCCTGCCTCTATTCACTTCTTTTCTTCCAAAGCATCACTCCACTTCCCCTGTGAAGATGCAACCAGGCCAAGAACAGAAACTAACCTCCACACCTTCCCCTCATTTTTGCCAACCCCAAAGACAAATGCACAGATCTTGTTTCAAGAGATTTCATGAGATAAACACAAACACACAAAAAATTGGAATTGGAAAGTGATAAACGTTCCAGAATTTCAAAAGTAAATTCTACATGGCCTTGCCTCACAATTTACAATCTCTGAATTCCTGGACCTGAGTTTGTGAAATTTGTGTGTGAAGGGACGGGTAGGCATGAACTGCGCTCCCCTTGACTTCTATTGAGTGTAGAGCATCCCACATGAGGATAAGCAAATGTTCCATAGATATTAGCTATTAGTTTTCTACAATTTAACATAAGTAGCTGCTGAAATAATGACAGCTAGAATTTTACTGTGGTCTTCATCCTACTATACATATAACACAAAGATGGCAAGTAGGTCCTACTGTGTGATGTATTCCAATTTCAACAATGTTCTCAATTCTGAGAGTAGAGAGTCTTTACCCCTGGGTATCAGTCCTGTTCCTAACCCCCACCAACTTGGCTCAAAAACAAATATTTTTCAGAAACTTTTGCGTGCAAGGCACTCATACAGGACACTGGCAGCTCTGATGGAAAAGCAAGAGAGAAAAAAGTGAGAAGATAAAGGAAGCTGGAGATGGGCATAGAGGATAAAGTTGAAGGAAAAAAAAAAGAAGAAGAGGGGGGAAATGCAGTGGAGAGAAATTGGAAGTTCTCCTGGGCAGTGTCTCTAGACCTCCCAATGAAAGGAGAACCACTGTAAGTCCAGCCTCAGATCTCCCTGAAATCCTTTGTCTACCTTTAAATGTTTTGCCTTTTCTGTTGTTTTGGGTTTTATACAAATTTGTATAGTTGCTAGTTTTTAAAAATTGGCAGATTTCACATAAAAATCTTAGATTCTTGACTCCTCTTTAAATATTAGATCTGGGGCGCCTGGGTGGCTCAGTTGGTTAAGCAAATGCCTTCGGCTCAGGTCATGATCCTGGAGTCCCGGGATCGAGTCCCGCATCGGGCTCCCTGCTTGGCGGGGAGTCTGCTTCTCCCTCTGACCCTCCCCCCTCTCATGTGCTCTCTCTCATTCTCTCTCTCTCAAATAAATAAATAAAATCTTTAAATAAATAAATAGGGCTCCTGGGTAGCTCAGACGGTTAAGCGTCTGCCTTCGGCTCAGGTCATGATCGCAGGGTCCTGGGATGGAGTCCCGCATCAGGCTCCTTGCTCCTTGGGAGCCTGCTTCTCCCTCTGCTTCTCTCTCTCTCTCTCTCTGTCTCTCATGAATAAATAAATAAAATCTTTAAAAAATAATAATAAATAAATAAATAAATAAATAAATAAATAAATAAATAAATAAATAAATATTAGATCTGGCAGCATTGGGCCCAGGGTAATAGTTAGTTGAGAAGTACGTGCTATCTTTAGATGGGCAGTGCATTCTCCAGCGTGCCACAGACCCTACAACTTCGTGTTTTATTGTGCTCAAGCTACCACATTCATTTACAATATCTACCTGATTTCTAGAAAAAGTTGGATTTTTTTAAAGATTTTATTTATTTATTTGAGGTACAGATAGAGAGGGAGCACAAGCAGGAGGGAGGGGCAGAGGGAGAGGGAGAAGCAGGCTCCCCACTGAGCCAGGAGGCCGACGTGGGGCTCGATCCCAGGACCCTGGGATCATGACCTGAGCTGAACGCAGATGCTTAACCGACTGAGCCACGCAGGTGCCCTGAAACAGTTTGATTTTTAACCCTTGGACTGGAAGAGGTATATGGTTCCTCCTGGATTAAAAATAACAATCTACTGAATA